GATCCCCCGCGCGGCCGCGGCTCCAGCCCCGCTCGCTGCCCCGCGGCGCGTCCTCGGCGTGCGAGCCCGGCTGCGCCCACCGACTGGCCGGGGCCGGGGCCTCCTGCGTGGCGGCACCGCAACCCGGCCGCCCCCGGAAGGACCCGGCGAGCGCCCCCCTGCGCCCTTTCTGGGCGTCCGCAGCATCTCCGCGTGGGGCTGGGAGGCCTCCCTCGGAAACCCCGCCCAGCATGAGAACGAGAATAGCGCTTGGGTTTCACGGGGCAGGGACCTGCGGGCTGTGCTGTGCTGTGCGTGCAGCCGGTGCCCGGGTCAGCCCCCGGCCGGCCTCCCGTTCCTTGCAAGCAGAATTCCAGTGAAGCCGGTCTCTTTTCTTCTCAGATTCTCCCGTTTATCTTCATGAACTCCTGGAAGGCAGCGAGATCTTCCTTCCAGAAGTGAAAAAACCTCCCAGGGTTTGTATCAAGCACAGCTTTTGTGTCGCTTGAGAGCGGGACGTGCCATGGTTTCGGAGATGTAGAAGGCCGTTGCTGCAGCTACAACTGTGGGGGTGGAAAGGTGGGGTGCAAAGCAAATGAAGTCCCCAGAGGGTGATGTACGTTTCTGGGTCTAGTGAAATTTGGCTCTTGAAATTTAGGCCAGCCTTCTCCAGCAAAGAGAAGGCCGGCAAGTCTGGAAGGCATCAGGCTGGGGGAGGCTGATAAAAGCCCGAGACGGCGGTGAGGCAGATTGCTTGAGGCGCAACTGTGCTTCTGTTCCAGAACCCCGAGTTAGAGGCCCGGCTGGAGAAGATCAAGGCCAGGCTAGCCAATGAGGAATACCAACAGATGACGAGGAATATCAACTGCCAGGTCGGGGAGACAGCCAGGCCTCTGCTGCCCCTCCCTCTCACCACCCCCCTGCCTGGGCTGGAGGAAGAGGCAGAGGGAGGAGCGGGCCCAGGGGCTCTTGCCAGGTGCCCTGCTGGCATGTGGGCCTTTGGCCGGTGATTGGCGCCCGATGCCAGTCCTGCGCCCCGTGACTGGCAGAATGGGGCTGCATCTGTTCCGTCCTGAGCCTGAAGCTATTCCCTTGCCGCATTCTCTTCCTCTCTCTTTCCAGGAGCTGAACCGCTATGGCACCCTGGCCGATCTCGGAAGGCAAGGTGCGTTGCTGTCCAGAGCGCTGGGGAGCCAGGTGGCCTGGCACAGCCAAGAAGCGAAGTTTGGCCACTCCCTCAGACAGAATTTCTCTCCTCCTCCTCCTCCTCCTCCCCAGTTCAAACAGTCCCGCTTGGTGAATTGAAACCCCAGCCCAGACAGTCATCCATAAGCAGCTTTGAAGTGTGTGTGTGTGTGTGTATGGGGGGGGTCCTCGGGGAACATGCTGCAGCCTGGGTGACACCGACTTGACCAAGGCCACATGTGGAAAGAGGGAAGCAGAGGCTGTGGCCCGGCTGGGGAACTGGGGCCAGGCAGCCTTGCTTTCTGCTGTCCCACCGAGTGCAGCAGTAGTGGCGATGGGAGCCTTGCCGAGCTGGGCGCCTGCCACACGAGCCAGAAGGGCAACGTAGGACGGGGCTCTTTGGGGAGAAGGCCTCAACTGGGGGGAAGCAACCCAGAGCCCCCAGGCAGGTTTGCGGCAGGCACCCCCTCACCTGCCCCTCCTCTCTCCTGCCCCCAGTCAGGTCCACCAAAGCCTTGTTCATCACCATCTTCAACTTCGTCGTCACCGTCGGCGCCACCTTTGTCTGCACCTTCCTGGGCAGCCAGTACGTCTTTGCGGATGTTGCGGCGGTGAGTGCCCGCTGTGTAGGGGAGCGGGCAAGACCCGAGGGCGAGGGAATGTGCCTCCCTTTCCCCGTTTTAAGCCTGCTGTTTCTGAGCTTGACATGGGCCTGACTGGGGCCACTTGTACACGTTTGCCGGGACGGAGGAGGCACGGGGCCAGGTGCAGAAAGGGCGCGGCTGCAGCTCTCGCGGACTGCCAGTTGCCTCCCTCTCCCCAGGGCCGGCTGGCCAGCCTGCCCGCCTCTGGGGCAGAAGGCAGGCAGGCGCAGCTTCCGCTCTTTCCGCAGCGGCCCGGGCATCGGCGCTGACCTGCTTCTTACCTTCCTTCCAGCGCATCTTGTCGGCGGTGATCGTGGCCTCCGTGGTGGGCTTGGCAGAGCTGTACGTGATGGTGCGGACATTGGAAGGGGAGCTGGGAGAAATGTAGCCCGCGGCTTCTCCCAGCCAGGCTTCCCTGAACCCTCGCCGGCCTGCCTGCGCCAGGCTTAGAGTGGGCCAGCCACCCAGCTCTCCAGCAGCTCCTCTGCTCCCAAGAGGTTTCCTCGCCCCCACGGAAGGCAACGGCCCCAGGCTCCCGCAGGCTGGCTCCGGGTCGCCCCTGCCTCCCGAGCACGGAAGCTGTCTGTCCCCGGCCACATGACGGGCTTTCCTGCAGCAGCCGGAGCTGCCCAGGCCCCGCGTGCAAAAGCGAGAGGCGTCCTTTGCCCCTGCCCGCTCCCCACCAGCGAGCGGAACTGCAGAAGCGTGTCTGGCGGTGGCCCCCCGAGTCCCCCTCAAACCGGCAGGGCCCCGTCCTTCGGCTACGCGTGCAGCCCCAGGAGCCAGCCCCCAAAAGGGGGGCCTTGTCCTCCGCTTTCTAATCTGTGGAAACGCTGTTCCACGGGAGGCAATAAAGGCCTGACGCAGCAGCCTCTGCTCACGTGTACTTGTGCCGGGGGGGGGGGGGGGGGGAGGATGGAGGTGGGGGGGGGGGGGCGCTGTGCAGGGGCGCCTGAAAGCAGCACGGTGCTGCCTCCGTGCTGCTCCCTCCCTGGTCTGGCCAGCTTTGCTGGGACTCTGCTTGGGGAAAGCCTGGCAGGGCCCAGATGCAGAGCAGGGCCGCTTCCCCCGGGAGCACGGCTGGGACCGGGCCTGGGAGTTGCCCGGGGTGCCGCCCTGCAGGGTCCCTGGAGGGAGGGAGGGAGCGGCTTGGGCCGCTTCTGCGCCCCTCTCGGCTCAGCGACCCGCTGGGGCCAAGGCCCGGTCTAGCCGGAGGGAGGCGCCTCCCACGGGCTGCACGTTCCCTGAAATGGGGCCCGCGTTAAGCGGGTTTCACCCGGCGGCCGTGATGGAGCCACTGCCCGAGCCCACCGGCCTCCCCTGGCCCAGGCTGCCCCCCGCACCTGCTCCCAGCGCCGCACGGACCAAGCCCCTTCCCTGCCCGGCACCGCCAGCGCCTCCTGCAGACAAGGCGGCCCGAGGATGGCCAGGCCCCGCTCAGGCTCAGTCGAGAAGCGTCCACGGCCAGCCTGTGTGTGAGCACTCCTTCTCAAGCTGGGCACACTGCAGAGGTGCTGGCTGGGGATGATGGGAGCGCCTTGGCTCGAGGGCTCCACTCCGGTACGAAACAGCCCAACAGCTTGGAAGGGCGACGCCGGCTCAGCCAGCCTGGACCCTCCCGCTGCCTCAGCTGGGGGCCAGTGCAGGCAAGGGCTCCTGCGGGGGGGGGCCCTCAGCAGGCCCAAGACGCCGCGCCCCCTCCCCCTCCCCCTCCCCGGGAGGATCGGGCACCTCCCACGCGCGTCCCCAGAGTCCCCCCACGCGACTCTGCAAGGCCGAGCAGGCCGGCCCAAAGCGGCCGATGGTGAGCCATTTCCCAGGCGGAGGCGGAGGCCAAGCAGCGCCCCCCCCGCCGCGCCCCGAAGACCAGAAGGGCCCCGCCCGCCCCGCCCCTTTCGGCCTCCGGCGTCCGCAGGTGCCGCGCAGCGCAGGGCGGCCGCCACGTGCGAGGGCAGGCGCGGGCACATCTGGCAGGCGCCCGGCGGGCGGGGCGGCCGCGGAGCCCCCCGCGCGATGATTAATGGTCTGATGTCCGCTAAGCCCCCACCGGGGCGCGCCGCAATATTAATATCGTCATGACGCGCCAAGCCGGGGGAGCAGCCGCGCCGGGATTAGGTGCTGTAGATCAATCATCCCCAGATCCGACCCGGAGATTAAGGTATTTCTCCCCACGGCAGATTAGGTGGCATTACAGCGATCGCGGGTCCCAGGCCGCCCCCCTCCATTTAGGGATATTGGATGGGTTTGCAGAGCGATCGCTCTCCCCGCCCAGCGAGCCAGAAAGGAACGCGAGCGAGCGAGCCAGCGGCCGAGCGTCGCGAAGCACTTTTATTGGGGGCCCGGGGGCGCAGCGGGGCGCTCGGCCAGGTGCGCGGGGCACAGCCCGGCTCCGCAGCGCGCGTGCGCCCGCCCCTACAGCTCCCCGAGGTTGGCCACGAGCGCGGCGCTGTAGACGATCTCCGAGAGGGAGCCCAGCGGGGAGCGCGAAAGCGCAGTCCAGGCCACGGCGGCCGCGGGCTCCGCCGCCTCCTCCCCGCGCGCCTGGACGGGGCTGCCCGACCACCGGAGCGGCGCCGGCCCCGCCGCCTCCTCCCCGCAGCCGTGGAAGTCCGGGCTGCCGCGCGGGCGGGCGGGCGCTTGCTCGCCGTCGCGGGTGTCCAGGCGGGGCGGCTCGCTGGCGGCCAGAGCCCGACGGGGCGCGCCGGCGGCAGGGCCGCTCTTGATCCTGCGGGCGCGGCGGTTCTGGAACCAGACCTGGGACGGGGCCACAGAAGGCAGTGAGCGGGGCGGCGGGCGGGCGGGCCCGGCGCCCCCGCCGCTCCGCGTGGCGCCGCCCGCTCACCTGGATCTTGGCCTCGGGCAGCTGTGTGAGCTCGGCCAGGCGCTCCCGGGTGCCGATGTCCGGGTAGGGCAGCGCGGCGAAGACGCGCTCCAGCTCGCTCAGCTGGCCGCGGCTGAACGTAGTCCGCTTCCTCTTCCTGGGGCCGCCCACCGGGCAGCCCCCTCGCCCCGGGAGCACCCCTGCGGGAGGGACGGACAGAGCGGCGGCTCAGAGCGAGGCCCTCCCCACCCACCACCCAGCCCGGGCGCCCCAACTCACCTCCCAGCACCACCTCCACTCGCTGCCCCAGCGCACCGTCAGGGCCCCGCGGGGAAGGCGCCGGCCGCAAGCCGCACGCCCGCTCCATGCCGAGTGCGCAGCACGCCTGCCGCGCTCGGGCGCCCGGCTTTTTATCCCCTCCCAGCGAGGCACCTCGAGGCGCAGTAGGCTCGCCATCGATGAACACGCGGCCTCAGGGGGAGGAGTGGGAGTGCCCCGCCCAGCCAGGGAGGCAGCAGGCCGCCTGTGTGAGGGGGGGGGTGCAGGTGGAAGCTTGGGCACCCTCCCTCCTGAGACACCAGGACAGAAGAGCAACACTGGAACACTCCTCTGTAGGGACTGGACCAGAGTGAAAACTTCAGAAATTAACCAAGATAGAGCCTCAGCATTCAAGCAAGCACTACAGCCTGGGTGCTGGACCAGAGTGAAGACTTCAGCACTAACCCAAAGCCCCAGCAGTGAGCAAGAATTTAAAGCACAAGCCACGAACCCAAAGAGTGCAGGGATGCTTTATTTAGCAGGCTTTCTCAGCTGACTGGGACCAATCCCATTCTTGCTCCCACCTGGACTAGCCAATTGCCTTTTGAGAGCAGGCTGTGAATCTGAGGACAATGGGAGCAGCCAATGGTTCATTTCCAGAGCAAGCCCAAAACCCAGCCTGGCAGAATGAGGCTTGCATGTTCCTCTCAGGTGGCAGTGCCCAAGGCCTTCCTGGCATCAGAGCTGCTTGCAGGCCTCCTCTGGCCACAGGGCCTCCCTTGAAGGCTGCACCCTGGCCCAGCCACACCTTGGGGCTTCTCTCAGCAGCAGTTGATTGTAGGCCTGTCCGTTGGTTCAGCTTTTGCCTCAGAGAAAGGAGCCAGAAGACAACAGGCTCTGATGGCTTCTTCTGAAAGATGGTCTGGGCATCTCCAGGTCACCACCAGCCAGACTTGCTCAGGCTCCTTCCAAGCCGTAGAGACTCGACCTTCTCTTCTCTTCTCTTCTCTTCTCTTCTCTTCTCTTCTCTTCTCTTCTCTTCTCACAACCTCCTCCTGGGACGTCTTCTGCCGAACTGCCACAGCAGCCGCGCCGCAGCCCTTATATACACGCCAGCCAGCTCCTTCCAGCCAATCAGACTTCAGGCCCTGTTGCCGCCCCGCCCTGTCCGTCTCGGCCAATGGGAGCGCTCTTGCGAGCGGCGCCAATTTCCCGCCGCCTTCCCGCGCTCGCGGCGCCAATTTCCCGCCGCCTTCCCGCGCTCGCGGCGTTGGTTTGGCCCGTCGCGGGGGTGGCGCTGCATCCCCCCTTCGGGGGCAGGTTCAGAGGCCCCCCGCGTGGCGCCCAGCTCAGGCCGCCTCGTGTTTTGGGGAGGACGTGGGCCGAGAGGCCGCCCGGAAGGGCATTTCTGCCCAGCAGCAAACGCGGGTGGCAGAAGGCCAAGACCTTTTTATTTAAACGATGTTTTAATAATCGTTGACATTATTTATTGGTTTTAAAATATATAGCCAGGATGTATCCAGACTTTATATGTATCTATTTGTATTAATATTTATTTATGATGTTGGAAGCCGTCCCGAGGCTTATGCAAATAGGACGGCATACAAAATTCCAAATAAAATAAATAAAATAATAAAGTGGAGTCCAGCACTGGGCTTAAGAAAAAAGTCTTGCAGTGCATTTTGACAAAAGTGAAACGATAAAAATGCGATGTCCTCTCATGGGTGCTAATAAGTCAGTTGTGGGAACTGCGCGTCAAAGGTGGAAATGGGGGTCTGTGGAAGAAGCGTGGTCAGCAAAAGCAGGTGCCCAATGTTCAGGGAAGACAGGTCAGACACTTGCCCACCCGTCCATTCCCGTCCTTCAAATGTTGAAACCATCATTAGCTCATTTATTCTCCCAATATTGTAATAGCCATTCTTGAGCTGCCAAGAAGAGGCGAAAAGTTATTTCCATTGACCACACATTAACTTCCGAGTAGCAAAGCTTTAAGAAAACTTGCACAACAGTAAGTATTTAAAATGTTTGGATACAGAGTTTATCCATATTATGGTTTCTGTCCAAACAAAGCCCATAGTCTGTTCAAGACTGGACTGAAGACTCAGAACTAAATCACAAGCAGCATAGAAAACAGCCAGACTGGATTAGGGATTTCTGAGAACGTGCAGAGGAAAAGATCTGAACCAGAATGACCAGAATGAAAACTAGACCAGAATGAAAACTTCATTAACTAACCAAGGTAAATTCTCAGCATTTACCTCACAAAAAAGCTCCACAAACAGCCTTTGTGCTGGACCAGATTGAAGACTTCAGGGGGAAAAGAAAAACCTATGTAAACAGCCTGAAAGTGGACCAGAGTGAAGACTTCAGAACTAAACCAGGGTAGAGCCTCAGTATGTACTGGACCAGATTGAAGACTTCAAGAAGAGGCTCTACAGGCAGCCTGGGTGCTGGACCAGAATGAGAACTTCAGAACTAGCCAAGGATAGCCTCTGCAGATACTGGACCAGAGTGAAGACTTCAGAAAAGCTCAGGTGTGGCGGGGGGGGGGAGCTTCCCTATAGCCTGAAGTGGAAGCTAAGCATGACTGGGCCCAGTTAGAACCTGGATGGGTGACTTCAATGTAGAAGAAATGAAATGTAATGTAATTATTCATAGAAATGTAATGTAATTATTATTAATTATTATAACCCTAATAAAGCATCTGAGCAGGGACCTTACCAGACTGAAGGCACCAGATGGCCCGACCAGCTGCTGGACCAGACTGAAGACTGCAAAATTAGCCAGGGGGAAGTGGCTAATTTAGCCCAGTCTTGTCACCAGTGTAAGAAAAGACTGGGCTAAACAGTTGGATACTCTGTCTTGCTGTAGGTTCATTTCCTATGGCCTTATTAAGGACGGCTCTGTGCTCACAACCATGGGGACTAGAATCTTAATCTAAGTCAGGTACGGCACAACCCTAGGAGACACATCCCAGCAGGAGACTAGGGGTCAGAGGGAGGTTTGGCCATAAACAGGGTGGGGAAATTTATGCCGCAGAAACACGGAGAGAAGAACCTGGCGCTAGCAGGTCTCTGGGCCTGAGGTTCCCGAGTCCCGCCCAAGACATGGCTGTAGGTCCTGACGCTGCTTGGTCAGGAGCCTGCTCGTGAGGAGGGCCGCTGCGCTGGAGAGCCCCTCGCCACCAACCAGGCACTGCTTCACCATCTGGGTGGACGGTGGCCCCGGGGCTTAGCCACAGCGGCGACAGAGCGTTCTCCACACAGGGGAAGCCTCGGAAGCAACCTGTTCCCGCGGTCCCACGGCTCCACACGCTTCCTCTGCAGAGGATTCCCCAGGGAGCCCCAGCCTCACCCGAGGGGGGGGCGGTCCTTGCTCCTGCAGAGAGGGTCTCCACCGGACATCAGGGCTGGGCCACTACAACTCCCATCAGCCCCACTGCCAGTGGTGAGGGATGGGGGGATGTGTTCAAGACATCCAGACAGCCGCCAGCTGCATCCCCCCACCCATGCCCCACTTCATGCCTTTAGGACCGTCCGCCCAAAAACTCTTCTGGCATTTTGATTCGCGGCTCAGTTCCCTCTGCTCCATGGCGCCACCAGGTGGCCACGGAGCGCAGTGCGCTTGCCTGCAGCCGAAGGGCTACCCGGGCTTCTGGTCTCGCCCGGGTCAGCCTGGTGGGACGCATCTCTCACCTCGAGGGGCCATTCCTGGGGGACTCTGCCCCCGAAGGCCCTCTGTGGACACGCGAGCCGCCACCCCGCACTTCCGACTCCGTTTGTTCTTGCTCTGTTTGCTCACATCCCACAGGACGAGGGGGGGGTGGAATTCCCAGGCGCTTCCCACCCAACTGTGGGGAGCCGGGGGGGGCGTTAGGGTGACGAGACAGAAGCGCCGGGCAGGATGCCAGAGTCCCGAGGCACGCCAGAGTCCCAAGTCCGAAAGCCAGCCCAAGGCACACTCGCCAAGCAGGCCTGGTCAGGGGCCGGCCGGGCAAGGACAAGCCACGCACGGAGAGCGGGGGGCCAGCAGGGCCGGGGGCGCCTTGGGGCCGGACACAGGGGCTGGCCCAGCAAGCAGGAGGCCTCACGGAGCGAAATGAAGGCACGAGGCAGCGGCCCGCGCGTACGTGGCTCCCGCAGGGGCCTCGCAGGCGGTGCGGCTCGGGAGGCGGAGGGCTGCGCAGGGCACGCCTCCGATCCTGCAAGCACCGGGCTGGGCGTTCCGGTTCTGGGCAGGAGGCGCAGCCCAGGCCCTGCCATGGGCTCGCTAAGGCGCTCGTTGAGAAATTCAGCTGCCAGCTCCCCGGTGTCGGCGGCGCTGGGGATGCCGGTTGCCTCCCCCGCCCAGCCCTGGGGAGACGAGAGGGACGCACGGAGGTGCAGTGCAGGGCCTGGGCATGAACCGGACCAGAGGGAAGACTTCCAGAGAAGCCTGGGGCACTGCTAGACCAGAGGGAAGACCCTGGGACCAAACCAGGGCGGAGCATCAGCGTGAACTGGTCCGGATTGGAGACTTCAGGAGAAAGCTGGGTGCTGGGCCAGCGTGTCGGCTCTTGTGCGCGTTTTCCCTCTTTGCCCACGGTCTGGATGCTTCTCCCGAGGCCAAGGGGCAGCGAGACCCCCCAGCTCAGAGCCACACCAGGCGGGGACCCTTCACATTTCTGAGGGGCCTTCAGGGCACACGTGAAAAGCATTCCGGCACCTCCGGATCACCGCGCTGCACCCCCAGGTTGCAGTGGGGCGTCGGGAACGGGGTGGGCACTGTTGCTGGGGCTGAGTGAAGGGCAGGGACGGCTGGGCACCCGCTGAGGGCTGCGTTCCACGCCCAGAAGGCCCCTGAAGTGCCGAGCCCCTTCCCCAGCACGCTCTGGCCCGGGCAGTGCCGGCACCGGGGAGGAAGAGGAGGAGCGGGAGAGGCCAGGCCACCAGCGGCCGTGATGCAGGTGTGCGGTCCTCGAGGGAGGCCTGCTCGTGGCCCCCCACCCCTGGGGGACTTCCCAGGCAGCGCCCTCACGGGGGCTGCTCGTGGCCCCTGGGACCCCCCGCCGGGGGAGCAGGCCCCGCTCATTCCTGCGGCGCTTCTCCAGGCAGGCGGAGCCACCCTTCTTCAGGGGCGGTTTTGCCTTCCCAGCCGCAAGCCACGGACGCAGCCCTCCCTTTGCGCCCGCCCCGCCCAGCACACGCGCCCCACAAACTGCCCCGAACGGGCGAGTGCCGCTCGGCCCTTTTCTGTTTCTGCCTTTATTTCCGTTGATTCTCAACATCGCGCTGCATCTCGCATGTCGATCCCGCCTGCCCCCTGGCCGGGTGCCCTCTGCAGCCGGGAGCCGCAGAAGCAATTTCAGGGCGAATCGAACAGGGCCGTGGCCGGCCGCGGCTCTGGCGGCGAGACTTCCCCTCGGCCGCCGCCACGGTGCCGGCCCGCGGCGGAGCTCAGGCCTGGTCCTCCTGAGAGGGGCAGCCCAGCCAGTACTTGGCGATGGGCCGCGGGTAGCGGGGGTACACCCAGTCCACACGCTGCGTTTGCAGGTTGAGCCGGTAGTACTTGTCTGCGGGAGAGAGGCAGAAAGAGCCTAGCCGGGAGGAGGCCCCCGTGCCTTGGCCCAAGCCCCGCTGCCCGCCCCCAAGGCGCTCCCCCGGGCTCCCCGCCTCCCGCACTCTGAGCCGGGCCTCTGCGAAGCGTCTCTCCAGTGCCGGCCTGGCACCCTGCGCCCTTCCGAGCCCCAAAGCGCCCACGGAGGGAGCCAGAGCCGGGCCGCCGGAGCCCCAGCCGCACGCCCCGCACCCCGAGGCCACCCTGGCCCTCGCTTCCCCCTCAGTCTGCCCGCAACCCCTCGGCGGGATCTCTCTGTGCCTTCAGGCGCCCTGGCTCTCCCACGGCCCTCCGCCCGCGGCTCCGGTGCTCACCTTGCACGAAGAAGTAGACGCTCTGGAAGGGCTGGCAGGGGCTGCCTCCGTGGGGCAGCCAGTCCAGGTCGGAGGACTCGGAGCTGTTCTCTCCGTCCCAGGCCCACAGCGGGTTCCAGCGGCCCCAGCGCTGGTGGCGGCGGTACTTCCTGCGGCGCCGGCGCGACATCCTCCGCCCGGCCCGCGTCTTGGGCTTGTTCGGCGCCACGTACAGCCGGCCCAGCATGGCTGCGTCCAGGTTGGCTGGCACGCCGCGCCAGTCTCGGCTGATGTAGCGCGGGGGGCTGGCCCCACCTGGGGAGGGGAGGGGAGCGGAGCGGGTGTTGGAGGGTCTCTCTGCCCCGGCCCCCCCGCCAAGGGCCCCCAATCCCCAGAAGAGCCGTCCTGGGCCGGGCCAGCGCTCGCCCCGTCCAGCCCTGTTTCCACGGAGGCCTCCAGCTGCCACGAGAAATCTGGAAGGGGGACCCATGCGCAGCAGTACCCTCCTGCCCATGTTGCCCGGCCACTGCTGCGCACAGACATATTGCCTCTGATCCTAGAGATCGCCCGGACCCATGAGGACTAGGAGCTTTCTCCAGCCCTTTTTCAGGCCCTCCTAATTGGGGACCGTTCCACCCCGTGGCAGCGAGTCCGTTTTCTGGGCCACGTGAGAAAGGCCTTCCCAGCTTTCCGCCATGCAGCTCCGGGGGACATCCCCGCCGGGTTCCGGGTTCAAGGCAGCGGGAAGCGAGCCCCCCAGGCAGGGGCAGCCCCCGCCCCGCCGCCCGACTCACTCCGCCGTGTGCTCCCGAAGAGCAGCTGGAAAAACTCGCCGAACTCCTCGTCATGGAGCAGCATGTAGTGGTCAAAGACCACGGACGGGGACGTGATCTCGCAGTCCTCGCGGCTCGGCTGCTTCGTGAAGTCGTAGGACCAGTACTTCTTCCCTGGAAGCCAAGGCGGCAGCGGCGGGATCAGAACCAGGAGGTTTCTGCCAGCCCCAAAACAGGGTTGGTCCCGAGGCGACACGGCGGCCTCTTCTTCCCTGCCTCAGTCCGGGGGCAAAGCCGCCCTGCGAAGCAGCCGCGGCCCCAAGCGCCAAACGGACGAGCTGAAATGCCGGTGCGTCGGACGAACGACAAGCAGCAGAACTGGAGACGGCCACAGTCGGCTCGCGACAGCCCTGGCGGGTAGGGCGGGCCAGGGCAGCGGCCTCTGTCTTGGCGGCGAGAGCCCGGCAGGCCCCCCATCCAGCCTTCCCCAGCTGGGCCCCTCTGAAGGTGCCAGAGTGCGGTCCCCAGTGCCTTGTTCCCGAGTGCGGGTCAGCCCTGTTCCGCCGCCCGGCAAGGCTGAAAAGGGGGCGTCGGTGGGAGCAGCGTCCGGGGCGCTCACCTTTGAAGAAGTAGACCCGCTCGTTCGAGAAGTAGTTCTGGGCGGGCACCGCGAAGGCGGCGTCGAGGTCGTCGGGGATCCCCCGGAAGCCGTCCGAGATGTTGCGGGGGGAGTCGGGTTCCATGACTCCGTCGTCAAAGCGCCAGTAGAGGCTCCCCTGGGGAAGAGGGGCGTGCCGTGGGCCGGGGCGTTGGAGGGCCTCCGGCAGAGAGAAGACCTCTCCGCGCCCCCGCCCCCCAGGCCTCTCCTCACTGGGTGCTGGTTCCTGAACCCCCCGCCAGCCCGGATTGGAGGCACCCCCTCTAACCCTGGCCCTGTCCAGCTCTGCTCCCCAGAAGAGGGCCACCACTCTGGGGCGCCCTGGACAGCTCGGGGTAAAAGCCGCAGTGGGCACGGACGTGGGGCTCCCCGGGCCCCCTCCCTCCTGTGCCGGCTCCGGGTCGGAGGGAGAGCCGGGGCACCGCCCCCCTGCTCAGGTCCCCTTGGGGGGCAGCTGGGCGTCCCTCACCTGGAAGAGGTACGTCTTTCCCTCACAGTTGACGCGGGTGAAGGCGGCGTCAACGGGCCCCTCGATGCCCCACACGTCCCGGATGAGTTTGGGGTACCCCGGCCTCACGCTTTTCTCGTCAAGCTCGTAGAAATACTTCCCTGCAGCAGGAGGAAGGGCGCGTGAGGAAGGGAGGCCGGAAACGCCCCCATGCAGCTCAAGGGCCGGCCGGCCGGCCTCCGGGGGCATCTCGATCTTCCGGGGTGGGCAGAAAGCCATGCAAGAGCCGGGAAACTGCCGAAGATTCGGCGGCAGGGAGGGGGGGGGGGGGTGGCCACGCAGGACGCTGGAAAGGTGGCTTGGGGCCCCCGCCCCCACCCTGGGCTGAGGCCTGCAGAGGCCGCCCGAGAAGGATGCCCCCCCCGGGGGCCGCACCCCGGAACGCGTAGATGGAGCCGTTCTTGGCGCTGGTGAATGCGTCAAAGGGCTTCCCGCTGCACAGGGCCTCCTCTCCTTCTCCCGGGTCCTGGGACTCGGGGAGGAGGGGCTCCTCTGCGGTCCCCTTGGTGTCTGCGGCCGCCGTGGTCTCCGCAGCTTCCGTGGTCTCCGCAGCCTCCGTGGTCTCCGCAGCTTCCGTGGTCTCCGCAGCCTCCGTGGTCTCCATCCAGGGGTACAGATAGTCCGTCCCTGGCTCCACGGTGTCGGTCACTGGCTCTGGCGTTGCGGCGCTGGGCTCACTGTAGTTGTAGTCCATGTAGTCATCATCCGGCATGACGAAGGCATCGCCGCGGGCCACTGGGCAGAGGAAAAGGCACGGCCGGTCAGCCGCTGGGCCACTCGCAGCCCCCAAACCTTCCCCAAAGCTGGGCCGGGGTCCCCTCAGGCCTCGAGCAGCCCTGTCCAACCCAAGCCACCGAAAGCTGCCACACCGCTGAGATCAGAGCGACGAGCCGCTGCCGCTCGCTAGACGAGCGTGGGATTCGTGCTGGCAGAGGGAGGCTCTGTGGCCGTGGCTGTTGCCCGGGACGTGGATTTTCCGGCTTCCAAAGTGGAGGACCCTCATCTCCCCGCGCTTCTGGCTCCCCGTTGCCCCTCTGGGAACTGTGCCCATGCAGCTCCCCGGCCCAGCAGCCAGACTGCCTCCCTCCCTGTTCCTTTCCGAGGGCCGCACTGCCCCCAAAGTCGCAGCGCACGTGCCTTCTGCTGGCGATCTGGGGCAGGGAATGTCCCGAGAAAGGCCCCCAGGAATCCGCACGCAGGCATCACCCAACCCCTGGGCCGTCTGAGTTTTCGCCCCGAAAAGAAGGCGACTGTCATGCTTGGAATTGTATTCGCTTTTCCTTTCGGCTGCAGTCGCTTCAGGAATACACTAGAAGCGGCCGGCTGGTGGCTGCTGTGCCGGAGCCGAGACGGGGAGGCCTGCCCGCCGCGTTGCTCAGGATTCCCCCACAGCGTCCCCACAGCGCCTCCCTGACCCACTTGGCGCTCGCAACGGGGCCACGGAGGGGGCATGTTCCGTCTTGGCCCCTCCGAGGTCTCTTGCTCGGCCCCAAAAGAGAAGGGCCACCCCTGAGCTCCGCAGGCACGAAGCAAGACTGAAGACTCCCCGGAAGCTGCCGGCCAGAGGCGGGCCCCGCACCGCCCTGATCCCCGGGGCGCCCTCCTGCGTGGCAGCCGCATGCCCAGCCCCCCGCGTCCCACGGCCGGGGGCTGCCGTGGTACCTTTGGCTCGGCACGCGATGGTATAGTCGCTGCAGCAGCTCTGGTAGTAGGAACAGAGGTCGTCGCACTGGCATTTCCTCTGGATGTTGAAGCCCTGGTCACAGCGCCCCTCACAGGACTCTGGGGAGAGGGACACCCCGAAGGGAGGGTCAGCGGGGAGGGAGGGGCACTGGCAGCCTCTGGCCTGTGGGGATGGCGCCTGCGCCACGGCTTGTGCGTGTGGCGGGACGCCCCGTGGCCGGTGGTGGGGAGGAAGGGTTGCCCGAGGGGCCCCGGATGTGGGCTGTGGGGGCCGTCGGAGGGGCAGGAAGCGCCGGCACTTCCACGCCACCACGTCCAGCCTCCGGGAGTGGCTGAGCTCGGCCACGGAGGCCTCGGCGCGTCGTGCGCGCTGGCTCGGGAGTGAGAACCAGAGGGCTGGGAAGGATGTGGGTCCGGAGCGAGCACGACCAGCGATGCTCCCGAACAGCACAGAGGGTGGGAATGAAGGTTCAGCGGCTACAGGGACCCAGGAAGAAGCCAAAATGGCAGAACGGGCAGAGACCAATTTGGGGGTGGCTGGAGACACTGCGGGTGGGATCGCGGGAGACGGCGCTGGGGAGGCGATCGGGGAGGCGGCTTGGGAGAATTAGAATTGAGAGAGATTGAGCGACGCAGGGAGAGGAGTCAGAGTGACCCACTCACGGAGGGGCGGCCCAGAAGGGTGAACAGTGCCCCGTGAGCTGAGCTCATTCAGAGAGGACAACTTGCTAGCTTGCTTGACTGTATCTGTACTGCTGTGTAGAAGAAAGGCTTCTGCAGCATCAACGGGAGTGATTGCTTTCGTTGGGAAGGAGCGCCAGCCGCACAACACAACCGGGGCAGGCAGTGCCTTGCAGGGGCTGGCTTTCCCCTCCTCCCTCCCAGCGCTCTTTCCTTTTGTGCTGTGCCTCTAGGGCAGGCGCAGTCTCATTTCTTCTCCTTGAAACGGCTCCAGCTGGGAGCCTTCTCAGGCTGGAAAGCAGGAGAAAATGACAGCCTGGCCCAGCATGATGGGCGCTGTAATCCAGAACACCCGGAGCACACCCTGTGGCTAATCCCTGCCTGAGGAAGAGCTCTGGAGAACTCAAAACCCCCACAAGGTGTGGGGTTGGAGGGGTGTGCGTTCCTCCCTCGTGGGCCAGCGGGGGGCAACTTCACTTTTCACAGCCAGTGACCCAGCACGGGATGCTGCTCCTGGGGCACCTGGGGGGGGGGGGGGGGTCAGAAGGGTGCGTGTCCTCCCGCTCCCCACGCCAATTGCCCCCGCAGAGCCCGCTGGGTCCCGAATTCTCCTGCGCCTGGGAGGCCACGTGGTGCAGTGGTTAGAGCAGGAGCCCCGCGGGGGGGGGCAGCGAAACCCTTGGCGAGCCCCGGGCCCCCGGCTCCTCCCGCGCCCCGTCCGCCCCCTCGCAAGCAGCCGGACCCGCGCGCAGCCGGGCCCCCGGGAGAGCCACCCTCGCGCATCCCGAGCCGCGCTACCCGTCCCGGGGTCGGGGGCCGCCGCGGGGCCGCTACGGCGGCGGGGGGCCGGGGCCGCGGCAGCAAGGCGGCCGGGCGCGGACTCACCCTCGGCGGCGCGGGCGGCGCACAGGGCGCCCAGGAGCAGCGCCAGGCGCACGGCGATCATGGCGAGCGGCGGCGCGTCCTCCCCGGACTGGACCCGCAGCGGCGCAGCCTCAGCGGGAGCGGGCGAGGCCGGGGGAGGCGCCGGGGCCGCCCCTCCTCCGCGGCCGCCCC